ACACAGCCAACCTGACAGGGCCCCCTAAAAAAAACACAGTTTACTCTGCTCAGTTATGAATGAACACAGTGAGTGATTGGTACTGATATAATAAATAAATAATTTGGAGGTGGTCTACATACATTTTACTGTATAAGTTCCCGTTTTGCATTCTAAATAACACTGAAGTACTTGAAGATTAGGTCAGTGGAGCGTTCGGTTTATTTGACACTAGCGAAGGAGGTGCAACAACAACTTGTAGCTCTTCTCCATCTGATGGCTCTAACCTCGGCCTTTCCTGACAAACACCCATCAATTAAATATCTACAATATACTGACACTATTAACCGCACAACATGGCCACAAAGAAGAAATAACTTCGGGAATAAACTTTAGAGTTGGTGCCTATTAAAACTACACCTACGGCTGTGTTTGAACAAGACATAATTGCAAGTTTTCTGTCGAATTTGATTTTCTAAGTGATGTAAAAAACACAAAAGGCAATTAAGCAGCCAAACTCAGCAGAGTCTAATTACCTAATACACAAAAAAAGCTCCGATTTCTGTTTCATCCTCCTTTTAATTATCTCAGAATATTTGATTTTTTTTTTTTTATCTCCAGCAAGTCACCTGGGTATAGCTCATCGTGAGAAATGGTCAGGGCGAGACGCTTCGGATGCTGTAAAGATCGCATCTACGCCAAAAACTTTTTTTTTTTCCCTTTTCTCACTCTAATGAGCTTTTCAGATGAATTCACATTGGGGAGAGGATCTGAGTAAACACTTTGCACTCGGTGTAATTAGAGAGCGGCCGAGGGGCCGGGAGAGAGAGAGGAGCTCCGAGTTTCGTGTCAGGATGGAGATGACCCAACTGGAATCAGTAAGCTGGGACCTTCACCGGCTTTAATTAGCTGCTTCTTTTGAACGCAGAAATCAATGTACAATGTATCTGTTACCGGAACATGAGAGGTATTATTGGGAAATGGAAAACCTCCATTTGTTAAAGTGAAGTAAAAGGTATCCAGCTGACCTTGGGAACCACACTGAAATGATTTTGTGCCGCCTGCTGCAGTGGAGATGTTTTCCTTGCACGTTGCCTGAGAATTGCATTGTCCTAACTGACACACGTTATGTCTGACTTTACAAATTATCATCCAGGTACATCTACATTAAAGCTGAAGTTTAGGTATGACTATTTTTACATAGTTACATTGGTCCAGTTTGGACCAATGTTTTGCTTCAAATGCCGCTTTATGCATTGACATACCTCCTTAGACCCAGTCTGTTCAGACAGTATGATCACCTGCTGAATTAACACCATCCACAGGCAGCTTAACTCTTCAATAAGACAGATGTGGAATCGAATGCAATTTCTAATTGCAGTACAGAGGATGTTTTTCCCGTCTTTTGAAGTGTAAGATGACAACTACTTTCCTGAGCCCTGTCTCTGCAAATCACACCGAGTGAGGGAACATGTGTCATGGAAATTTTGTATTTACAGGTTGAACTTTAAATGTGTCATATATTCGTGTTATTCATATGATTCTCGTGTGGCTTAATTAAAGCTTTGAAGGCTGCAATTGGGCCATGCGCATGTACAATGTATGTATTACAGTACTCAGCTCGGTAATGGATGAGATGGAAGATCTGCGCTTATAGACCGGCGTGTATACCACCACAGCATTCGATGCGAATGCCGCCGGCGGTAGGCCGCGGGCCTGTATCCACATATCAGCAGCATGGTACCACATGGACTTCGTACCGCAAGGCACCAAGCAGTGCGAACTCCGTGTGTAGGCTCATGTATATCTTACAAGCCATTACCAACCTGAAACTGTATCTGGATGGATGTGTTTTAATAAAGATCGTATCGGGCCCATTCAGATACAGACAGGCACTGTTTAATCTAGGGGATGCTTGTACAGAGAATTTACATACCACTAGGAGCTAATTGGATAGGAAGTTTTCTCTCCTCAGAGAGTTCATGGGGGGGGGAGGGGAGGACTGGTGTAAAGGGGGAAGGTTGCTTCCCTCAGAGAGCTCATGGAGGGAGGGGAGGACTGGTGATAGATAAGAGGAAAGGCTACACTCCAATCGGAATGTACATCCTGTGTATAGGCACTCCCCATGCATTGTTCTGTGGGAGGGGATTGACCTGACTCATGTGGGGGGGGGTGTGTGTGTGTAATAAAACCGGGGGCTGAGTCTGAAGCCAGCCTCTATGTGAATTCCAACAGCAACCTGAGAGTGTCGTGTGATCATTCCCAGGTAACTGGAGCTCCATTTCCCCACAATTCTGAGATAGCTAACCCAGTTGGAGGTGCAGGAATCGTGGAGCTAAGCTGCAGTCATGGTAAGCGAGATTCGCACAGCTTTATGGGGGATTGCTGCGCATCCAACTGCGAGTACTCACGGTAAGGAGAAATTCGTTAAAAGCGAATTTCCAAGACACATGGAACAAGTGGGAGGGGGTCTAGCTAGGTGTAATAGTGATGCTGGGTGCAATTACTAAAAACAAGTCATATACAAGCACACAATCAACATGCAGTCATGCAGGTACTTTTAATCAGCATTTAAACCATTACATGTTCTATGCATTGTGAAAGGCCAACTACCCAATGAATACCTGCCCTGGCACATCATAGCATTCACCCGGCACTCCAAGAAAAAACAGAATCCAACTGCAATATTCTTGCACTGTCAAAACCTCCACTTTTATTATCACACGAAACACAGGAGGATATATCTTATAGTCATCACAAACTACATAATAACACTCACCAATAATAATGTGAGCATTACAGCATGAAATAGGCACATCATTTGACAGCGTCACAGCATAGAATTTATAGATTACCAAAGCTATGTGGAAGCTGGGAGGAACAAATCCCATTGGAACCAAACTGCCCAGGGGGTCACGGAGAAGCCATAGGCGCGACCAGTCGATGAGCCCATATAGCCTTGGTAAAAATCCCAGCGTCAGAGCGTCAGAGCGTCCTCTGGCCACTAGGGGAGCGTCCTCTGGCCACTAGGGGAGCATTCTCTGGCCACTAGGGGAGCTTCAACTGGTCTTGCCCGGACCTTCGCCTTATAAATCCTCTTTTCTGGAAGCAGTCCAATAGTGGACGGTGCCAGACCCACTACGGGAGGGGCTAGCAGAAGGGTTCCGCGAGGATAGCGGTCATGTTCAACCGCCATATTCAATATCAGAAAAGTCACACTTTTGCTTCTTATCTACCCCAAAACCTCTTTTTAGACTTATGCAGGCCATAGATGGGTTTAAAATCAGCTGATTTTTTGTCGGAAAAAAAATCGGCAGACTTTCACACCATTAATGGGTTAATTGGTCGGCCATTTTTCTGAATTTTGGCACATTTTTTTTAATCAGTAAAGTTGGAAAAGAATTGGCCGATTTTGCCAATTGGCCGATTTTTGCGGCAATGATGGGCAAATCGGCCGAGAAGAAGAAGAAGAAAAAAAGAAAAAAGAAAGCTAGAAAAGAAGAGCTAAATTCGGTGGGAAGTGTTACTTTTTTACTGATAAAAAAATATGTGCATGAGCCATGACCTGCAAGAAAAAGAAGAAGAAAAAGAATTCCAGTCCGCTATTATATTTGACATGAAAAAGTATTGCGGCTACAACAATGTATCTATTTGTATCCGAATAAAAACATCTGTATCCGAAATGGATACAAATAGATACATTGCTGCAACTGCTATACTTTTTAATGTCAAATATAATAGCGGAGCTCTATGCAGGGACAGAAGTAATTAAATGCCGGCCGTAGACGGGACGAAAATCGGCTGATTTTATTTACCGTTGGTGGTAACTTCGGCCTATTGAACGACCGATTTTTCGTTTTTTTTGTTAAAAAAAGGGCCGGTTTTCGACCCCTCTATGGCCTGCATTAAGGATTTCTAACTTAGATGTCCTTATCTCCTAATGTGAGGATACTAGATGTCACAAACATGGTTCATTCCATGAACAAGGTTTTATCCTGCTCTCGGCAGAATATCTTGTGACATCATCACTTCTCATGCTCCTGGCGTTTGGGCGACGATGCTTTATTGTAAAAATTACTCAAGAAACAAAGGGTCCAAGGCCAACACATTTCATAGGCATTACACCAGGAGTAGACTAGAGAGAAACCAACCAATAGAGAGAAACCAAAATCACATAGTAAACGAGCTGTGGTCACCAGAAACTGCCACTAGATCTTAGAATAATACTGAACCGCAATGGGTGGATTTACCAAAGGCCAATAAACTGAGCACTTTGCAAGTGCAGTTGCACTTTTTTTCTTCTGAGCTTAGTAAATGTGGTAAGGCTTAATTTTGTAAAGAATATTCAATCAGGTGCAAGGAAAAGAAAAAGGATTGGGTGATGAAAATCGGCAGAGCTTTACTACATTGACTAAACTCTGGGGAAAATGAGTGCAAATTCACTTGCAAAGTGCACAGTCTATTTGCCTTTAGTAAATACACCCCAATTACTTTCCTGACCCCTCTCTCTGTGAATAGTTAACAATGACTGAGGGAACATGGATGAATTGGGGAGGTTCGAGCGAGGACCAATCTACCTAGTCCATAACAGCAACCATTTCTCTAAAATTGTTGCAACAGTTTAACACCGAGCTTGTAATATTTCCTCCCCCCGATCCCCAACTCATGACTTTACCATTAAGATCAACAGCACAACCATTGGTCCTTCCACTCATGCCAGGGTGCTGGGCGTAATCATAAACTCTGACCTCTCCTTTGGGCCCCACATCCACTCACTGGATAAATCCTGCCGCCTCAACCTTTGCAACATTTCCAAAATCCGCCCCTTCCTGACCAATGATACCACAAAACAACTTATCCACTCCTTGGTTATATCCCGCCTTGATTACTGCAACTCCCTCCTCACTGGTCTATCATTACACAGGCTATCCCCCCTTCATTCTATTATGAATGCTGCTGCTAGACTCATCCACCTTACCAACCGATCAGCGACTGCTGCCCCTCTCTGCCAGTCCCTTCACTGACCTCCACTCACTCAGTGCCCTCCATCCCTCTCTGCCAATCCCTCCACTGGCCTCCACTCAGTGTCCTCCACCCCTCTCTGCCAATCCCTCCACTGACCTCCACTCAGTGTCCTCCACCCCTCTCTGCCAATCCCTCCACTGGCCTCCATTCAGTGTCCTCCATCACTCTCCACCAATCCCTTCACTGACCTCCACCCTTCTCCGCCAATCCCTCCACTGGCCTCCACCCCTCTCCGCCAATCCCTCCACTGGCCTCCACTCAGTGTCCTCTATCACTCTCCACCAATCCCTCCACTGACCTCCACTCAGTGTCCTCCACCCCTCTCTGCCAATCCCTTCACTGACCTCCACTCAGTGCCCTCCATCCCTCTCTGCCAATCCCTCCACTGGCCTCCACTCAGTGTCCTCCACCCCTCTCTGCCAATCCCTCCACTGGCTTCCACTCAGTGTCCTCCACCCCTCTCTGCCAATCCCTCCACTGGCCTCCACTCAGTGCCCTCCATCCTCTCTGCCAATCCCTCCACTGGCTTCCAGTAACCCAACGTATAAAATTCAAAATACTAACCACAGCTTACAAAGCCATCCACAACACTGCCCCCAGCTACATCGCCAACCTCATCCGCAGATATCGTCCAAATGGTCCGCTCTGCTCCTCCAAAGATATATTCCTCTCTAGCTCCCTCATCACCTCCTCCCACACTCGCCTCCAGGACTTCTCCAGAGCCTCTCCCATCCTCTGGAACTCCCTATCCCAGTATGTGCGGTCAGCCCCCACCCTGTCTGCCTTTAGGCAATCTTTGAAAACTCACTTCTTCAGGGAAGCCTACCCCACCTCCACCTAAGAACTGCACTTGAATCACCTCCGCCAGATCATCTCCCGCAGCTATCACCTTTTGTATCCCCTCCCCCTTCCTTTAGATTGTAAGCTTCACAAGCCGGGCCCTCCTATTCCTTCTGTACTGAAATATGTTGTAATTGTACTGTCTCACATTCCAATGTACTGCGCTGCGCAAACTGTTGGCGCTATATAAATCCTGTATAATAATAATAATAACACAGAAAAATACATATTATGCTCATAGGATGCATCAGGTTGTGAACTCGATGCATCCTATGAGTGTAATATGTAGTTTACCATATTAAACTGTTGCAGCAATTTTAGAGAAATAGTAGTGGTGATATAAGCTGTTTTTTGTATATGGCATATAATAAAACTGGATTTTATTGTATAATGTTGTGCCTCAAAAGCCCCATTCTATTAGTTCTATTTTTTATCACACGTTATAATTAGGGATGTGGCACAATTTCTGCCCTTTTTCTACTCTTACTAGTTCTAAACAGGTGGAGAGGACAGAGGAAAAGACCAAAAGCACATTAGTAAACATGTCATAGTGGCTCGAAAGTGCCACGAGATGTCATTATACTATGGAAAAATGATAACCTCATGCAGTTTAACCACTGGCCCTCCTGAGGATTTACCCCCCCTTAATGACCACGCCTCTTTTTGCTACTCGGCGCTGCACTAATTCAATTGATAATTGCGCGGTCATGCAATGCTGCACCCAAATGAAATTTACGTCCTTTTTCTCCACACAAATAGAGCTTTCCTTTGGTGGTATTTGATCACCTGTGCGCTTTTTATTTTTCACGCTATAAACAAAAGAGGCCAAAATTTTTGAAGAAAAACAATATTTTTTACTTTCAGCTATAAAAAAAATATATAGTAAACTCAAAGTTGGTTATAAATTTAGGCCAAAATGTATTCTGCTCCATGTTTTTGGTAAAAAAAAAATCCCAATAAGTGTATATTGATTGCTTTGTGTGACAGTTATAGCGTCTACAAACTATGGTATAGATACTGCAATTTATGCCATTTTTTTGCTATACAGCGCTGCGCTAGTTTAACGGACAATTGCGCGGTCATGCAATACGGTACATAAATGAAATTTAAATCCTTTTTTTTACACAAACAGAGCTTTCTTTGGGTGGTATTTGATCGCCTGTGCGGTTTTTATTTTTTGCTCTATAAAAAAAAAGGCTGACAATTTTGAGGGAAAAAAACAATTGTTTTTTTTTTGCTATAAAACATGTCCAGTAAAAAAAATGTAAAAATCAAATTTTGTTATAAATTTCTGCCAAAATGCATTCTGCGACATGTCTTTGCTAAAAAAAAAAAACCAATACGTGTAAATTAATTGGTTTACGTGAAAGTTATAGCGTTTACAAATGACAGGAAAGATACTGGGATTTTTACATTTTATTTATACTAATAATGGCGGCGATCAGCGACTTATGGCGGGACTGTGGTGGACATTCTGACATTGGGGGGAACTGACTTGGGGTCACTGACATCCCCAGTGACACCAATACAGTGATCAGTGCAAAAAAAAACCACTGACACTGTACTAATGGCACTGGGGAGGAAGGGGTTAACTTTATTAGTCAATGAAAGGGTTAACTGTGTGAGGGGAGTGTTTTACTAGGGGGCTGGGGGGGGGTGTACTGCATGGGGACACGCTGATCGGGAGAGATAAACTCTTCTCTCCTGATCAGCGTGTCAGGAGCTGTCAGGGAACTGACAGGAAGCAGAGCTACTGCAGCCCTGCTCTCTGTCAGTGATTGCCGCTAATCGGCGGGACACAGCCGGTAATGACCGGCTGTGACCCGGCGACTGACACCCGTGGCCGGGATCAGCGGTGCAGGTAGGGCGGCGGCGCGCCTCGTGCATGCCGCCTACCTGCTTTGCAAAAGCGCATTTTAAAACGTGCTTTTGCCCAGCCGTGCCACTCTGCCGCCGTATTTCAACAGTGGCTGGGCGGCATGTGGTTAATACATAAAGAATATATGAAAGTGAGGCAGAACCCTGGTTGAGAGAGGCTGGTCTATGTTGTCTGGGGGTATGCAGTCCATCCAATTTGTATCCAATCAGGCAGGGCCCATGCTACAGTTCCAAAGGAAATGGTGCAATCTGATGGTGGCTGTTTTCAGCTGCTGACCCTGAACTAATATGCACATGAGGACTTCACTGGCTGCATACTTGTGAATAAAAATTTAATTTATGTGCAGGTTAGGTAAATAATGTGGTGATGAAGCAGGTGGGCCCTTCGAGGTGAAGGCCCTGGAGTACATTTTGGACAACCCCCTTTTCTGGGCACTACTTCACCTTTCTGGGCAATTCCTTCCACTGTATGCCACCCTGACTTAAAGCTGTACTCCAGGGAGTCAGTTCAACAGCTACAGTTGTGTGCAAAGGTTTTCATTCCTGAAATTTTGGCACTGATATTGAAAATATGACTGATCATGCCAAAAAATGTATAAGGATAGTGATCAAATATAGCCATTTATCACCACATAGTTGTTTGGCTCCTATTTAATAATGATAGGTGCACTGAGCAGGCTAGATACTGAGCCATGGGGAGCAGAAAAGAACTGTGAAGAGACCTGCGTAACAAGGTAATGGAACTTTATAAAGATGGAAAAGGATGTAAAAAGGTATCCAAAGCCTTGAGAGCTTGTTCACACCATGGTGCACAGTTTTTCTGCACACGTTCTGCAAGGGCACAATTAAATCAGTTTGTTCTCTATGTGCCCCGTTCACACCACAACATTAATATCGTGTGCAGATTTTTTTCTGCGCAGGAATCAGCAACGCATATAAAAATCATTGAGGTGCATGAAAACTGATGTAAACTGAGGTCTCTGCAAGTGCAATTTGTGCATCTGTTTTGGTCAGTTTTTCTGCACATACGGTGTAAATGAGGTTTGAATATGCCAGTCAGTGCTGTTCAGGTGGAAAATTCAGGGATCTCTTGATACCAAGCCAAGGTAAGGTAGACCAAGAAAGATTGCAGCCATAACTGCCAGAAGAATATTTCGGGATACAAAGAAAAATCCACAGGCAAGCTCAGGAGAAGGCTGCTCTGGAAAAAGAAGGCGTGGTTGTTTCAAGGAGCACAATACGACGATACTTGAACAAAAATGAGCTGCATGGCTGAGTTGCCAGAAAGAAACCTAAAGAGCACCAGAAGAATAATTAGGTCTTGCCTCTACTCTTTTTAATCAACACATTTGCAAGCAACGCATCCAACTGCCTCCTAGTTCTGGCCTTCTCACAGTCTGAGCTCTGCAATGTAGGGGATTGCAATAGGGGAGGCTGATACCAAGTCAAATCAGGTACCTAAAGTAGTTGCATTAAAAAAAATAATATGTAAAAAAATTAAAATGTATTATTTATTAATGAGTATCTAGTTGAATTAATGTGTGTCTTTAAAGCGGAGTGCCACCTGAAAAAAATAAATAAATAAAAGTCAACAGCTACAAAAAGTGTAGCTGCTGACTTTTTAAAATACAGCCATTTACCTGTCCCTTGGTCCAGTGGCGTCCTCACCACCGTTGGTTTCACCGGCCATCTTCTCTTCGCAGCGCCGGCATCTTCAGTGTGGGCACCCGGCTGTGACAGCTTGAGGCTTCATAGCTGGGTACCCGCTGCGCATGCGCGAGAAGATGCATTCCAAAATGTACAGCTCCAATCGCACCGCACACAACCCGGGCTAAAGGTCTCCTGTTGCATGCACAGTGCCCGCTTGGTTGCAGCTGTAATTGAATGTAGAATTCACCCACCATGTTTATTCTAATAGAAAATGCTTTGCAAAATCTGAAGAATATATTTAAAAAATATATTTTTATTTAAATATTTTGTAATATATAAAAAACTCATTTCAACATGCAGTATATATTTTCCGTGTGTGTGTATGTGTATATATATATATATATATATATATATATATATACTGAATGTTGAAATGCATTTTTTAATATTACAAAATATATGAAAATACTTTTAAAAATATATTCTTCAGATTTTTTTTAACATGTAAAAAAGTAATTTTAACATATATTTTTACATATATTTGTAAATGCATTCCGAAATGTAGATTTGTATTTTTAAAGACATACAGTATATTATATTTGAAATGTATTTTTAAAAATATTTTGATATATTTTGTAATAAAAACACACATTTAAACATGCAGTGTATATATATGTGTGTGTGTGTGTGTGTATATATATATATATATTTGTGTGTGTGTGTGTGTGTGTATATATATATATGTGTGTGTGTATATATATATATATATATATGTGTGTGTGTGTGTGTATATATATATATATGTGTGTGTGTGTGTGTGTATATATATATATTTGTGTGTGTGTGTGTGTGTTTATATATATATATATGTATATTTTTAAAATATATTTTGAAATATATTGAATATGGCCAAAATCTTAGCATTTCAAATATATGTCAATATATTTGGGAAGAATATTTTTAAAATACATTTCAAATATATTTTTCTTCCATGTGGGTTAATCAGTGCAAACAATGTAACGCAAAAGATAGAACATAGTAAAAAATTCTTATATATACACAAATTATAAAATATTCTTTCAACATACAATTCAGAAAAT